GTATATAAAAATAACGGAAGAAAGTTAATGGGCCGTGTCCAGCCTCGCAGCCAAGACACCGAAATCACTAATTAAAGAGTACTCGTTGCAAAGTTCACTCCAATTCCCGTAGTTGCGATAAGTGGCGCACATACAGCGCGCAACTTGTCACGACCTGAGAGTTTTCCCTTTTTTCGTAGATTTGTTTATTCAAAACGTTTTATCTCTCAAACCGTGCGTCCAAATCTTGAACCGTTTTCACCGTTGGATTCCTCGTGTCGAGATTTTCAAAACTAGATACCATGTTGATAGGTTTTGACAAACTTTTTTCATGAAAAAAAACGGACGAAAAGACCGAACCGGGAGCACGTGTTTTTTCCCTTTTCGAAAAGGCACGCCCGTGCCTCTCACGAAATCACAACCATGCCTCTCGCGGAAGCAAAACCGTGACTCTCGTGGAAGAAAAAAAGAAGAGAAAATACGTTTTTTTCCGTTTCCGAGGAGGCACGGCCGTGACTCTGGTGAAAGCACAACCGTGACTTTTGCGGAAGCAAACCCGTGACTCTCGCGAAAGAAAAAAAAATAGAAAACACATTTCCCCCCTTTCTAAGAGGCACGGCCGTGACTCTCGTGAAAGCATAACCATGCTTCTCGCGAAAGCAAAACCGTGACTCTCGCGAAAGAAAGAAAATAGAAAACACGTTTTTTTCCGTTTCCGAGAGGCACGACCGTGACTCTTGCGAAAGAAAAAAAATCGTGTTTTTTTTCGTTTTCGAGAGGCACGGCCGTGACTCTCACGAAAGAAAAACCGTGTCTCTCGCGGAAGCAAAACCGTGACTCACATGAAAGGGAAAAAACACGTTTTTTTTTGCAAATCTTTTTTTGTTGAAAAGCTAAGGAAGACCAGTGGAAAACCAAAATATCAAAAAAACCTGAAAAAAAACCAGTTTAAAAAGCCGAAAATGCGTGCAAAAAAAATAAAAAAATAAAATCCAGAGAGAACGCCCAGAGCGCGACACGTGGCGAATGGCTGAGAGCGCGCCAAGTGTCGCTAATCGTTGTGAGGCTTCCGAAGAAGCGCTCGTTAACTAATTGCTCTCCCAAGACACGGCCCTAGGGTGGGTCACGTGCCGGCACAACCCAATTGTAAACATGTCGACCAGGCCCACCATGGACCGGGCATGTGGGCCATCAAGATAGCACGCTAGGACCGGCCCATTTGGCCATCTTTGTATCGGTTGCATTTAATGGTTGGGGCCTTTCGCACTGAAGAAAGTAGATGATACCCCGCGTGTTGCTATGGAAACATGTGGGAAAAAACTGTAATAATTTTTTTTCTTATGAGATTTGATTGTTTTCAATTTGAAATGAGACTAAAGATTAGAAAGATTAGAAATACATATCACTTATTATATTTTATTACTATATAGATGTAAAAATATATTTATCAAGTAATATTTCTTATACGTTGAGAGAAATAACGTATTGTTGTTGATAGTGGGATGTGTGCATGTTAAGTGACTTAGTATAGGCATGCATGCATGTTAAAAGAAATAAAGTAGTGGAGTTGATGATGTGACATGTGTGCATGTTAAAATAAATACAAGTTATGGGGATCAACTACTACTTAAGTATATAAGAATTTTTACAAGCGTTGTAATGGTTTTGTATGGAAACACTTCGGAATAGAAGGCTATCAAAATTTCAACAAACAAATATGTCACATATAAATTTTTATTGGATTTCTGTCAAGATGCAAGAGTTCATGGAAGTTTTTTTTGGCACTTTTGCATGCACATTTCTCCGAAGTTACTCTAAGGAAAGGCTAAGATCCATTTGGCTCGTACAGGTTAAAGCACCTTCAGCCAGCCCATATTCAAGGGCGCTGCTTTGTCTCGCTTATACCGAGAAAGAGCGCATGGGAGCTATATATCGCCGGTAGCAAGTCCTAAGTAAGGGCGTGTACATCAGTTTAGACGCTTGTTGTCTGCAATGATTCTCCACGTCATCTGTAGACTGCGCTAAAAACACCTCATACAAATAGACGTCTTTCCTTACTATCGGTAACACCGTAAAATTAGTAAATTTCTTCATTATCTATGAGGTTAAATTCCATCCACCTCCGGCCGACCCCACCGCTACTACTCTCTAAAAAGGGCATTTGCCGTTTTTTGCAGACACACTCGATACAACGCTAGAAAGGCTGTCCGTAGTGACTGAGTTTCAAGCCCTGCAGATCGTCGTTAATTGTATCGACGGGCTCTTTCTTTCTCTTCAATTTCTCTCCCCCATGTCATCTAAAATCCTAGCTATAACCCCTTCTAGACAGCTGATTGTACAACGTTGTACATGCCCTAAGTCTCGACACTAGTGATAGGCAGATGGGCCGACACAGTACGGGTTCTGGGGAGTGATTTTTTCGGAGAGCTTTTGACCTTTTTTTTCTGTGTGGTTTTTCGCCTTGTTTTTGTCTATGTGGTGGTTTTGACCAGTTTTTTGCGTGGTGTTTTTCAGGTTTTGACTGTTTTTCCTGTGGTTCGTTTACCTATTTATTTTTGTCTGTCTTTCACCAATTATCTTTGATTTTTTGTGTTTCATCAAGAGTTTTTTTTAGTTTTTTTTCTATTTTTTTCTTTTATCAACACATGTCTGCTTTTTTTCAATACACATTGTACATGGTGGTTGCCTGCCTGTGCGTGGAAACCCCGGATCTGGAGCAGCGGCTCCATTGGCAAGGTACGACTAGCAGCTGTGCGGGCGATGGATCTGGCGTCCCGGCCACGTGGGCGGTGGGATCTGGTGATCGTTGGCGGTCGGTGACGGCTTCCGCGGTGGCCGATGCACGCGATCTGGCGCATCCCCTCCTCCCCTGTTCGGCGTGCGGGGTAGCCTGGTCGGGTCGCGCTTCCTTGGGTCGCCGGTTCTGTACAGGAGACGCTGGTGGTGGCGGGGATCTAATTCGAGCGAAATCCCTGGTCGGCCATGGCCGGCTCGTCGACGGCGCGCCTAAGGGCGTCGTTCCCCTCCTTGGAGGCGTCGATATGAACTGATCCCCTCACTTCTCCTTCCCCTAGGTCTCCAGGGCGAAAGCCCTAACTTTGTTGGGAGGTGACGACGCTCACGGCAGCGTTCCCTTCTTGAAGGCGTCGCTTTGGGAACCTTGGGGCTGGATGGCGCTTGTGTGTGATGGGTGGCGGCGGTGGTGCAGTCCTATCCTAACATGGATCTGCGTCCGTTGCTTGGAGATGGACTCGCGTAGGTGGAGGTCGTCGTTTGGCGTCATGGTGGCGTCGATGGCGGAGGCACCTGCCAAGGTTGGCACCTCAATCTGCTCTGAAGATGGACCAATGACAGATGGCGGCGACGACACATGTGAGTGCATCGGACCGGTTTGTGCCCCGGACCCGGTATGTGGCTCGGTCGGGGTCTTCGGCTTTAGATGTTAGGCTTAAGTGAGAGGTCTGGGTATTTGGCCCAACTTGCACCCCTTCACCATATAGATTGGAGTAGGGGCAGATGTTGCCAAGATG